TCGACACTAGATATCTATGTACATCAATGATGGGCAAAACGCTACTCGCGAGTAGCGTCTGCGTCGCAGCGCTTATACGTATACAGAAACGACGCAGCGAATTTCAATTCAGTCTGCTTTCAGTTTTCATGAGAGTGACACCACGCTTCGCCGTTGAATATTTTTATTCGTAATTTTAGCGCGTTGTTGCCACCTATATATGTAACAATGCCCAAAATGGCTGCGTATGAGTGCCAATTACAGTTTTTAGTTTTAAGAAAAGCCAATAACGCCCAATGCTTGTTATGTGGTAATACGACTACTTGGAATCGTACTTTTAATATAAGGCGACATTATTTGTCATGGTAAAAAAGTCAAACTGCCGAACTGTGTAAACCAATTTAAAGTTTTTTGTAATGGGTTTTATGTATATATGTATGTACGATACGGCAATTTAATATATTTAGTATACTTTATTGAATACTGAGTTTTTTACACAGTTTAGAAATTTTAAATTCGTGAATTTTGTTGTTGAATAAACTATCATTTTTTAAAACATTAGTTTAATGAAATTAAATTAAAAAACTTTTCATGCACGTACATATGTACTTATAAAAATTAATTTCATAATTCATTATTTGAAATTATTTCTTCATTATTTTTTTATTATATTTTATTATTTTCGTTTCATGTTCATAATACAAATTAAATATAAATTTGTAAGAGCGTTTTCTAACACGCGCAAAAAAACGACGCGCTTTTGTACAATATAGAAAAGTGGCAACTGTTACTCAGCGCGATTCACGAATACCATGACAAAATGAGACTGTATTGGTGTGCCCATCTATGATGTACATTCTTCCACCGGTTATATGGCTCACCAAAAACCGGCTAATTTTACTAAATTGGTTAGGTGAGACGGTGCACCTGTCCGAGGTTAGTTATTTGTTGTTCATTTGCATTTCGTAATCGTCCGCGCTAATCGACCAGACAAAAGCTTTATTGCCGGGCTCCCTTTTCTGATAAGACCCAAAATGATGGTGAGGGCAAAGGCTAAGGTAGTTTCAGGCGGTCTTCGCAGCTTAATCTAGTGTATCCTCCTGGAAGTTTTTACATTTATCCTAAATATATAATTGGTACCTTTTTATGTTTGAAAATAACTTTGGAGGAATTTATTTTACAAATACTCCAGAATATTTATCTGCGACTTCAAATTCAAAGATTCTGACGCTCAAAAGTCAATAAAGTGTCCTAGAAAGAAATTTTTCTAGAAGGTTTAGGTAAGTCATATAAGGGTACGTTAGTCCAAAGAAGACAAATTCCCCAGATGTTATCTTGGAAACCGCACATAAAAAGGTGTACAAGAGTGGAGGCCATCCCGACCGGAACGAAGAGATACGAAATACAATTTTCATTACGATAACTGGCATACAATCTACTCGCCAATCTTAAGTAACATTGCACATCAAAGCGAAGGGTTAGATATTACACAGGTTTAACTTATCTCCGCCGAATATTATCGGCACAAGTATCTTGAAAACGTTATGAGTTACAGAGAGACAGCCGTTACAGCTCTAAGTTAAGTACCCTCAGTGCTCCTGGGTAATTAGTTTTAGCTGTTGCTGCCTTTTAGACTGTCGACTACCAGACAGACAGCCAGCCAATCACTCGGTAATAAGCGCACGCGCTTTTCTTCTTACTCCCTCCTCTGCAGCCATACGTTGTCAATTTTTATTGCTAAGCCAATTAAGCGTAATATTTTCTCAATTCATGTTTCCTTTTTTTCCATGTTTCAACTTTTGGCCGCCGTTGCATAACATGCCACAAATTGCGTGCGTGAGCTTTGCCACTACATTTGCGGGGCAGCAGCAAGCGCATCATCATCATCATCATTTCGTGCGGCCGCAATAAGAGCAGCGGCTACGTACAGTGGCAGTGGCAGCCTCACTGCATGCAATTATCATAATTTGTTTGACACGTGACAATAAAGGTGGAGGAGGAGGAGGAGAAACAGGATGAGTTAGGTTAGAATTAGTCAGGAAAAGGTTATGAAGTGGATATGGAGAAAACCAAATGGGCGTATGGGTGCGACAAATTGTAACAAGCCAAGTAGGATTTTCGGTGTAACGGTGTATCATTTTACATTTTTTTTTGTCTTTGAGTGTGCATAGAAAATTGAGGGTTTTGCGGATAATGTAGAACACTTGCGCGGTAGATAGGATGCAGTTGCGAGTTATAAAAGCAAGAAAAAAATAAATAGAAATATAGAATATACTCGCAGTAATGTGCATGCTGAGATATTAGAATGCCTCGGAAAAAAAGAAAAAAATATTTGCCGTTTCAGCCTAATAGGTTGATATGCATTTTTTCTAACTATCAATAAACTATTTCAACCCAATTTAGCGTTCTTTCGTGGATTAAATTGTGTTTTTTTTTCTTTACAGTGAATCTAAAACACCTAGTTGACCGAAAAATTTAAAATACGAGAGGTCTGCATCAAAGTATTTATAAGCAACGACGATATCTTTGAAGTAATGAGATTTTCAATTCAATTTTTAATTTTTCCCCATCAATGGAAATAAAATTTTTTTTAAGGACATTCTGTAGCTTGAATAGCCTGTTGATTTATACGTTTTTCAAAAATTTAGGCAAAGTTATATATCAGAAAAAATATTTAAAAATTTCGTATAAAAAAAAATAAAAGTAAAAAAAAAATGGTCGGTCTGAAAGTGTTAATTTTCTTAACAAAAAAGAGATTAAAGAAATAAGTTCTCGTGGCAGAAAATCTGTTACAGGGTAAGTTATTAAAATGTCTATGAAAGAAACTTCCAAATTTTAGAGGTCTTCCAAATAATTTAAAAAAATGGCTTTGATACTCTTAGGTTCTTTTCGAAGCTTTTTTGACAGAGTTCTATATTCATAGTAGTGGGGCACATGCATATATTTTTACGAGCTACATTTTGAACATTTTTTTTTTTTAGAAAATTAGCGCTTTCATGCAGCAATATTTCATTTTATATATTTTTATAAACATTTCTAGGGGATGAAGGGTTAATTTCTAATAAGAGGAAAAATAATTAGTAGTCGTGAATACTTTGGAGGGGAAAGCGGGCCCCAAATGCTTAAGTACTTCAAATTTCCATGATAGCAGCTTTGAAACTTTAGAGATCTGCATCATAACTTTTCAAAATGGTGGCAACATTTAAAAATCAGTCAAAGAAGTTTTCGAAACTCTTGTAGCAAAATTTTTAAGGTGTAATAGGGTTAATATTTCCAAAACAGTTAAAGTAAATTAAAATAGTACCAGGAATGGAAGATCGGTTTGCAAAGAATTACTTTATAAAAATTTTCTATGGTAGGAACATGGACACTTTAGAGGTCTGCCTCATAAGTTCTAAAGATGGAGCCCATACATAGATTCAAATCAACGAAATTTTCCATAAATTGTTAATCTTTATTTCAAAAAAACTTAAATAGCTATGTTAATCTCTATATTTCTTTAGAAAAATGTTGTTCCATTTAACAAAATTTTGTTATGGAAAGTTTGAAAATCATGGTGCGTGAATGGGTTAATTTTTTAAAATAGAAATAAGTCAAATCTGTTTCTAAATAGTAAAGTTATGCAAAAGTTTTATTTAAAAATTCAGTCAACAAATTTTTTCAGGGTGTGCATAAAAGGAAAATCACTTTCTAAATTTAGGGCGTTTGGGCTTTAGCCTGGAAATTCCAGGGACTTAAATTGAAAATGCCGAAAGATTTTGATTTATTTTTTAAAGACGTTCATTGCAGATCTCTTAAATTTACATTGTTATCTTATGCTATTTGCTGGGTAACAAATTTTTCTAGTTTGTAAATTTTTTTAAGAAAAATTTATGTTTAGAGATCTGACTCACTAATGACCGGGAATTGGGACAAAATATTTTGTTGATAGTGGCAATAAAGAAGGTAAAACTTGAAATTCGGCTGCAGAAAAAGAATATTTTATTTTTAAGAAGCACGAGGCAATCTAATGCCTATACATATGTACTGCAGCTGGCTGCGTTAAAAATGCATGCTAAAATATGATTTTGAAATATTTTTTAAAGGTTGTGCGTGATATGTGGCTGTAAGGAAGTTCTCATAAATGCCAATGTGCATTCAATTGTAAATATATATATATATATATATATATATATACGACCACCTTATGCCACTCGCTTGCTCATTGCCATCCAAGGAAGAAGCAGTAAGGGAAGAAAAATAAGTCCTTGCACCAAAATATGAGGCGATCTCGTTATGCGCTGCACTCGATAAGAATAATGTCAATAAATCAATGATATGCACTTTTGACAGCAGCCACAAAAGGAGTGTCGCACAAGCACACAAGTCGAAGGAAGCACTTATGAAGGACGTAAAATATACATATTTATGGGCGCTGACTATGCTTGCTGTGGCGATAGAAGCAAGAGGCAGCTTTCGAAAGGACCTACGCTTATCCCAAGTGCTACAAGCACACACAGCAAGCTCCGCTGCCACAGTTGCACACACAAGCACAGACATTATAAAGCATCCTTCAGCTTCAATGAAATGATGAAAAGCAGCTTAAAAGTAATACATACATACATACATATTTTTGTAAAGATATTGCGGCATCAGCCGCTTGCCACAACTCCGGGCGCACGCAGCGCCCTGGCTTGCAATGACTATGCACATTGACTTGACTAGAAGCCATCGTGGCATGTGGCAAGCAAGCTCAATTGCTGTAAGCGCTTGTTTTTCTTAAGTACATACGAGTACTATTATTGTTGCTCATATTTGTTGTTTTCATTGGCGTTTTTGTTGTCTTTTCGCATTGCGCGTATGCAAATTGGTTGCGGCATTGTCACGAAATTACAATAACAATAAGAAAGCTTATAGTAGCACCAGCAGCAACATCAATAATGTCAACACAATAATGTCCTTGCTGTTAATCTTTTTGTTGTTGTTATTGCTGCTGTTTTTGTTGCGGTGTAATAAATATGTTTTATATTTTTGCTACTTACCGATCAATAATGACAGGATCTGATGGTGTCTCATTGCGGTTGCCACAACTTTTTTTATCACAACAGCGACTGTAAAGAGGAAAAGAGAGAGAGAGAGAGAAGTGGTAAATCATGAGTGAGAGATGGTGATATGTATACAAAAATGTGTGCTTATGTACAATATGTGCAAATATTGAAAATATTGCAGCTACGATATGATGAAAATGAAATGTCGACACTTGTTAAAATTAATTTTTAGAGGCAAAAAAATCGCTGAATTTAATGAGTTGGATGTCTACTTAAATACATATGTATGTATATATGCGTGTACGAGTGCATGTATGTGCATTCAATATTTTTTATCTGTAAAAGCATCAGTGATGGCGTTTTAATTTATATTCTAAATAATTATTATTTTCTTTTCATTAAATTCTGAGGTGTATTCGCAGAACTTCGCCATTTCTTTAACGACTTATGCATTAAGATACCGAAAAAATTTTAAAGTTAAATTTGAAAATTTTAATAAATATTAAAAATATTTTTTGTGCATTAAATTTAAAAAAAAAAAACGGTTAAAACTTCAACAAAATTATTTAATGTGGGTAACGCTACTACTTTTCTAGAGTGAATGTGTTTGAACACATTTTTAATATTCTAATACGTTATATTTTATTATACGTGGTAACTTTGTTCTATTTAAATTTTATTGGAGCGTAAAGTGCTCTAAAAATATCTTGAGAATAATTTTCATAATGAATAATTTTTAAATATTTTAATAGTTGGCAACCCTACCAATGCTACAACTTTGTTTTTTATATGTACATACATAGGTGGAAACTCTATTGTAATTCGTTGAAAGTTTATTCAAATAAACTTTTAGTTTAAATTAGCACATTTTCTTAAATATTTGAAATTCCGTTTTTAAAGGTGGCAACTCAATTCTAATCAAATTTATTTGTGACGTAAAATGCTATACAAGTATCAATATTTTTCATAATAAATTAATTTTAAATATTTCAATAGCCGGCAGCACTATTCAAAAAATTTTCTGAGTTTAAGTTTTTTCGGGTAACTTTTCGCCTGATGCCAGTACTGTAAAACTTTGATGAAACTAGCTTTTAATTTCAATAAATTTATTTTCTTTTTAACATTTTAATTTGTGATTTATAGCAAGAATACGCATATTTTTGGTAATAAATAAATTTTGAAAATTTTGAAAAGGCGGCAACCCTATTAAATTTTTTTTCTGAATTTACCATTATTTGAATACCTTTCAACTGTTATACATAAATACTGTAAAATTTTAATAAAATAAGTAATCAAATTAATAAATTTTTTGTATAGTCGGCAACTCTACTTGAAAATAATTTTAGATTTGTGTATTCTTGAATAAATTTCAAATAATGTGGGTACCAGTTTTAAGATTTTATCTTACGAATATTTTAAAGTCAATGAAAGTTTGTAATCAAAATCTAAAAATTTGATTTTATTTTTTTTTAAGAAAGTCCCTATATGAAGCCAAAACCGTTTGGTGATCCTGGTAAACCTCAACGCTAGGAGGGATGTGCGGGCTAAATACAACAAGAAAATCAAAAAAGCTGAAAGGGAAAGTTTACGAATCTTCTCTGAACTAATTTTTTTGACCCCTACAGTTCAAGGCTGTCAAGAGGAAGGGTAGAAACGAAATTGGCGCTTAGGCTGCCAAACTGAGCCTACACAAGTAGGCCTCTGCCTGGGAAAGAGAGAGGAAAGAGGATTCGCTCTCAGGGAGGACTTCGGATAACCAAAATGTATTCCAACCAGATTGTTCAAGCCAAAAACCAGCTGAAAGCAAAAAGGGTATGCCTACAGGGAATGTTCCTGCCCTACTCTATGTGGCCTAATACCAGACGTTTTTCTTCAGCTAGTCTCATCCGCTGCCAACGGTATGTAGATGACAAAGTCATAAGAGTAAGAAGAAAGTTCGAGGGCGGCATATTCGGCGATATGCGCTAAGATGTGGCTCAACATCATATTAGCCTAATTCCTCTATAACTCTAGGTGGATTTTCAGTACTAGCAAAGTGAAGTATTTAGGATTGATACTGGCGTCTATGGTGCCAGAGCTATAATATCGGTGCCAATGGAAAGTTACCCGAGCATTTTTCAGAAAAAAGGTGACACCATCTACGTCTATCCGTCTGTGTGCGGAGATATATCTTAGCAGTAACTATCAGAGAATCGTCATTGTCAGTGATAGCCAGGCGGCACTCAAAGCCCTTTGATCTTTCTCGGGTGCGTAGAAAAAATAACTCCTTGGATTCCTGCATACAAGGGAATGTAGGCAGACTAGCCAGAAAAGCGCCGGCCACACCACAATTGAGACGAAGTCCTACCTGGCAAAGGTTCAAATACGATAGAAGAATAGCTCCAAAAGCGAAGACGATCAATGAAGAAACAACATTGGCTCAATAGGACTATGCCAGGCAAAGTGTTTGCTTATGCGGAGATGCCACTTGCAAAAACTGTGTAGGCATTTGGTTAAACGCACTCTTTCGTTTCTGTGACATGCCCAAAGAGATATTTGTACACCTTTAAGTCGGATTGCAATGTCATTTCCTTTCCAGGCAACGCTAGAGAAACCTTGGTATGAATATTCTCAAAACCTCGAGTATTATATGGGCTTTGAGGCTTAACTGAAATTATGAAATTGTCGCACAAATGTATATGGCATAAATATAATTTCTTGCATAAACCTCTTAAAAAAGAATTCAACATTCAGCCATTGAAAGGACACTTTCACCAATTTGACAATACATTTGGCGTAACAAGCTAAAGCTATGTCGCAGCTGCAGTACCATTATATGGACACTACTGCCCCAAACCTGTGCGCCGTTAAAGCCGGTGAAAAGTCAACGACGCGCCAACGACACCGTCACCGCCACCGACATCACCATTGCTATTGCCATTTAGCCCATTTCACAAAACGAAGAAATAAAATTACCTTTCGCGTTTTGCATCATTTTTGTTGTTATTTTATTGACTGTAGTAAAGAAGCAGAAGCGGCAGTAAAGGGGGAAAAACGGGCATGCGACATTGGCAGACAGTTTATCAGCAACAATCGACCGCTACGCGCTTTGTTGAGCAAAGTAAAAGTGTGCGCAAGTTGGGGGTGTCAGTGGGTTCGTGCGTACTGGTGACCCTGTATGAAATTTGTACATTGTTTTTTTTTTAGTATTTCCAAAAGTCTACTTTTTTCTTACAGCTTGGTAAATCCTAAATTTGAAGAGAGAATATGGACTCTTAATCAAACTTGAGTGAAAATAGTCAGAGGTGTACGGCGAACTTTTTTCTGATATGGTCTAAAGGACATACATACATACATATATGGTCATGGAAAGATTTTGACTGAGCTCCCGTAGCTCTTGGAAAGTTAAACTACGTACTTGCAGTCCCGACCATAGCTACATATATAATTCGGGATACTATAACCTTCAAGAGACGTGCCAAAACTAGAAATGTCAGAAGGGGCAAGTCTAGCTGCATATGTATATATACACAGAGGGTTCAAAGCTCGAATGTAGGGTTGGTGGTGATGTATGTATATTCCTAAGTATTTGGAAGTATCTGAATATTTAAATCAGCTTGGGTCTTCCAGACTATTGTGGCGATCTTTCAGGCTGAGCTGATGGCAATCAACAAAGCAGCAGTACTGCTAAGGCGTGTTACTATATATGGAACCGATATCTATTTTTTTTTTGGCAGAGTTATTAGCTTCGAAAGGAACTTCAAAATTTTATTAGGGAATAAAGAAAGCTCCAAGATCAAAAGGCTCGCCAAGGAGGCGGCAGCAACAACACCAATAGGCCTGAGCTTTTTTTGCAGTACAACCGCACACTATCACACAATAGCTTAAGGGAGAAGAATAAATCAAAAGAAAACTGCGCTGGAACCAAGTCACTGGGCAGCGCCAAGCAAAAAAAACTATTGGGGAGATAAAATAGAAAAAGATATGAAAAAACAATTAACCTCCCAAAGCATAAACCTGGAATACTAACAGGTATCTTAACAGGTAAATGCAGATTAAGAAGTCGCTTATACAACCTCAGGATCTGGTCCACTGATTTATGCCGTTTCTGCGATTGGAGAGTTGAAACTTCTGAGCACATAATCCTCGAATGCGATTCAGTGGCGAGGAGCAGCGTTGCCATTTTAGCCGTTTTCCGGCTAGATTTAGCCGGTTTTGATAGCAACTAGCCGGAGAAAATTCGATCTAGCCGGCAGCCGATTTGTTAGCCGGTTTGTAAAAAAAAGTTAGCCGTTTTTAGCCGATTTTACTATTTGCCTAATTTTCAGGTGCAAAAAGTAAACAAGTTGTTCGAAAGCAATAATGCAGACCCAATGAAGATTTTTAATGAACTCAATGTTTTACTTTCGCATCTATGCTCCCTAGTGGTTATTAGCGCGGACACATTTGATCCTATATGCTTCCCGTTGGAACCATACCTTGCTCCATTTCCTCAGTTTTATCACATTTTTGAAGAGTATTTAAAAACAAAAGTAAGCACAAACGCTTTTGACCACGAAGCCGAGAAAATAATTCGAGAAAATGGTCGCTATTTTATTATCACTTTAATAAAGGAATTACGCCAACGCCTCCCTACAAATATTGCCACACTAAAAAAATTTACTTTTTTCGGTTGGAAATGCATTAAGAGTAATTAAACCAAAAGTATTTGTTCAACTACAGCAACAAAAACACAAATATAATGACGACGAAATAACATCTATAGAGATGCAATGGCAACGGTTAACGTTACATACCTGGAGTAATTTAGACTCAACTGTAAAATTTTGGGCCGAAGTTTATCAAATTCGAAATGCTCTAGGAGAAAACCCTTTTTCTGACCTTTGCAACCTAGTTTTTAGTTTTCTTGTTTTGCCTATAAGTAATGCAGAAGTAGAGCGAATATTTAGTTCAATTGTAACGTAGCTCCCCTACGCTACACTGACAGACATACGTACATGCA